TGGCATCAACTCTAAGCTGCCCCTCTGTGAGAAGAGAGAAAAAGGGATCTGATATGAGAATCACTCCAAACAGTCATTACAATTCAACCATCCACAGCTCTCAAAACCCCTGCTTAACAAACACTGCATACATTTGAATTTGAATGATTTATTTGCATGAAATACAGTATTCTGGAGTGCCCTGTGCACCGCTGAATAGTCTGCACCAGATAAACAATTTGCTGTATTTTGCTTCAGGGGGTTTTGATTAAACAAAAGCTATTGAATTTTTCATTTTTTAGTGACTCTTTAAGAAGGGTTGAGAAACAGGTCAGTTATTTTCTCATTTGAATTTGTGTCTTCTACACAAACACTACATTTTATCAATGTTCTTATTTAAAGTGTGTAATTGAAACTATGACTCACTCATATTAAAGGGTTAGTTCACCCAAAAATGAAAATTCTGTCATTAATTACTCACCCTCGAGTTGTTCGAAACCCGTAAGACATCCGTTCATTTTCAGAACACAAATTAAGATATTTTTGATGGAATCTGACAGCTCTCTGACCCTCCCATAGACAGCAAAGGTAACAACCACAATCAGCGTCCAGAAACGTAGCAAGGAGATCGGTAAAATAATCCATGTGACATCAGTGGTTCAACCGTAATATTACAAAACTACAAGAATACTTTTTGTGCGCAAAGGAGAAAAGAAAAAAAAAACCGACTTTATTCAACAATTCGTCTCCTCCCTCACACCCTAGCACCATTTTGGAGAGTATCCACTGAACGCACACAGTGTATGTTGTTCTGTGCCAGCCAGGGTTGCCAGGTTTTCACAAGAAAACCCGCCCAATCGCTACTCAAAACTAGCCCAATCGCGTTTCTAGGGGGTCCCCAGTTAAAAATTGCGTTCCGGGGGGTGAAATACAATTTTTTTTGGCAGAGTCCCCCTGCTAAAATTCGCATTCCAGGGAATAAATATCATGTTATTGGAGTCACTTCAAACATATACAGACATGAAAACGTGTGGTGCGGCTGACACAGAACAACATCCGCTGTTTGCGTTCAGTGGATACTCTCCAAAATGGCGCTAGGATGACGCGGAGGAGACAAATTGTTGAATAAAGTTTTTTTTTTTTTTTCTTTGTACACAAAAAGTGTTCTCGCAGCTTTGTAGTATTACGGTTGAACCCCTGATGTCACATGGATTATTTTCAAAGATCAAAGATCTCCTTGCTACATTTCTGGACCTTGATCGTGGTAGTACCCTTGCTGTTTATGGGAGGGTCAGAGAACTCTCGGAATGCATCAAAAATATCTTAATTTGTGTTCTGAAGATGAACGGAGGTCTTACGGGTTTGGAACGACATTAGGGTGAGTAATTAATGACAGAATTTTCAATTTTGGGTGAACTATCCCTTTAAGTTTCAAGAATTCAATCATCTCAAAATACAAATACTAGTGAAGTTGGAAACGGGGAAAAAGTTAACTCATTGGTGAAGCATAGAGTGACCATTGGTGAAGGAGGCTCACTACAGTCCTTTTGTGGTATACAGTCTACTCATTTGGCCCTGACAGTATACATACAATACCCAGACTTTAAATTTAAATGTATTTAAATGTATTCAATAGAAATGATTTTTAGATTGGGATTCATAAAAAAGTTTTGGAACATTTGCAATACATCTTTAAAGCATTTCTGGACAGTTGTTAGAATGGCATTCAGCAGGTCCAGCATTTCTGCAATATTCCTGATTTCTGACATATGTGAGGCCACATCTGTTTATTAGATATCTGAACACAAAAATTCATGTGCAAGGCTTTCCTCATGATGCACTCGTTAATTGAAATCTTAATGACGTATAGAATACTGTCTACTGGGCTAGTCGATATATTGAATATAGTGATGTCAAACGATTAATCACATCTAAAATAAAAGTTTTTGTTTAGAGAATATATGTGTGTGTACTGTGTATATTTATTATGTATATATAAATACACACACATGCATGTATATATTTAAGAAAAATATGTTATGTTTATATATTAAATAAATTTATATATAATATAAATTATAGGAATATAAATATATACATGTAAATATTTTCAAAATATATACTATATGTGTCTTTACATATACATGATAAATATACACAGTTCACACACATATATTCTGTAAACAAAAACTTTTATTTTGGATGCGATTAATCGCGATTAATACATTTATAAACACTAGTAATCACTGACTAGATTTCCAAACTAATTTTTTTAATAAAGTTTTCATAGCAAATCTTTAATTTAAACATCAGTAGCAAAGTCAAGTCAATTAATCTCTGTGATTCAGTTCAAAACTGTCCTTTTCACTGAATCAACAAGTCTGATTCAACTATTTGTTTGCTTCATTACTCAAATGTTTCTGGACAATTGCATAGAAATTTGAATGTATTAGATCGTTAAAATAGCTAATATAATAGTTAAATATTAGTAAGATATGTAAATATTGCAGTTTATTACAATGAAACGATTATTACATAAATGATTTAATGTCATTCTTCCTTGTGTTTATGTAATGACAAACAGTACAGGGAATGTTACTTGATTGTTTTAACTAGATTTGACTGTATTTCACTTCACGCATTAAACATTTTCTATCTACATCTATCTGTTTTTCTATTTAAACCATCTATTTTGGTCAAAATGAAATGTTCCAAGGAGCTATTTGGTCAAAATGATTGTTTTTAGACTGAGGAAACATCCTTTTAAGCTATTTCCATGCAAGTACATCAATATTGAGATGTACATTGAAAATAACCTTATGGATACTGTGTAGATTACTGACTCTGATAGAGTTGGTGCAAGCAAGGTGATTTGTGTCAGAGACCCAATCATGGGAATAAATGTGTATAGACATTAAAGGTTCTGATCAATGTTAGCTGTAGGGGATGTATTAAATCACCGGCCATGTTAGCCTGGCAGGTGCCCAGAGCCTGCAGGATGAGCTGAAGCTCTCTGACTGCAGCTGCTGCCTCCTCTCCGCAACACATCTCTGGCTCCATCACCAGCTCCATCAGACCTACACCTACAGACAGAGAGACACAGTGTTTATATCAGACACTGTCCACAAAGGACACAAACTCTTCATGTTTCTGTATAAGAGTAAAGAAGCAGCACCTGCTCTGTTGAGATCTATAAGAGTCTGACTCCGTTCATCATCATGAAGACTCTTTCCACTGTCTTGCTCAAGCTGGATCTGTTTGATTTTCACACTCTTGGTTACAACTTGGTTTCTTCTGCGACCTTCAAAATAACTATAGACCAGCATGCCATTCACTGCTATGGGAACCCTCTGCTGAGTGATCTGGTAGCCTGCCTAAAAACACAAACACCAAACTGTTACACAACTAAATGATGATGGGTATCAGGACCATTTTAATTGCTAGTTTATCTAGACCTAAATATATCTATTACACATCTGTGTCTGGCCAAGGGTTTTCAAACAGCAGGAGAGTGCTAGGAGAGCCTAAATAAAAATAGCATTAAAGATTAAATAAAATAAAAGTAAATATATAGAGTTAGAGAAAATACAGTCTTAAAGAACTTAATAGAAAATAAATTAAATATTTTGTTTCTATTATATATTTTGTACTTTTATTCAGCAACAACAAGCAAATGCATTCAACTGATTAAAAAAAAATTTTTTTTTTTAATATTATTACCAAAAAAATGTCGTTCAAATAAATGCTCTTCATTTGAACTTTATATTTACCCTGGGGGATTTTTTTTTTAGCTTTGCCATCAAAGAAAAAACTTAAAACAGTTACTATACAATATTACTGTTTTCCGTTTTTGATCAAATAAAAGCAAAATAAACTTTTTTCAAAAATATGTTTAACAATTTGTATTTCTAATATTTTAACACAGTATAAATCAGGCCTTTATTTACACAGTAAAATATGTAGTTGCCTTTTGTATTTTAGGGAAATATTCTTTTGCATTTTTGGATGTGTGTAGCATCAAAGCCATGCTGTGTTTTGGCTTAGACCTCATCCATGAAATCTAAATTAATGACCTTAAAACATCATAATTGTATAATCAGAGAAATCTTTTGTGTCATCACTCATCAGAATCAAATCTGGTGTTTGGCAGGGTTGGGTAGGTTTAAAAGGCCAGGGTTAAGGTTATGACAAAATGAAATTGCATACAGATACTTGTGATCTGGCTACATTTTCAATCTCCTTCAGTTTCACTGCAAAGCAAAACAGAGCACTCGTAACTGTTGCTATGGCAACTCCATGACCAAAAGCCACTAGAAATGTATGATGGTTAATGGCATGCAAAAGAGTAAAGGAAAAAAAGAAAGAAAGAAAAGCAATTAGCCATTACCATCTGCGTGTTGTACCTGATCAACTAATTCATCATGGCCACAAAAAAAAAGAAAAAAGTAGCGCTAATGAAGAGCGACAGATTCCTCATAAGTCAAATATTCCCTCCATTTCAATGTCTGCGCTTTCTCAATGCCAACTCAGTCAGAATCAGTCCTTGCTTATGATTATTTTGGCTTAAAATTGGTTTTACAATCTGTTTGGTGCATGTTGTATTACAATATAAGTAATACAGGAAAGGAGGATATGCCTTCACAAATCATTTTTCCTGCACAGTCCAAATATATACATTCATTCGAAATTGTTTTTGTCTGATATTTTGTCTTTCTAAAATTGTGACAGAATTAAAATGACATTTTCACTTAATCTAATAATACTATTTAATTATGAGTTTATCTCACATGTTGTATCTTTACACAAGAGATATCATGTTATTTTGTGAAGAGCTGATGTAACCAACATCCCTGAGTAAATGGACTTTAGCCACAAAAAAAAACTTAATAGAGCACAACAGGTGGGTTATGGAAGAAGAAAAAAAATCTCATTTATTTTCACCCAAGAAAATATATATTTTTTATGACGATAACATAAATCTTTCAAAAAAATAGTAAATTGAGCTCTGGGGTTGTTAGGAGAAAGCATATGCTTCTGTAGAAGCTACACGTCGATTTCAACTTCATGTTAAGAAAATCATGTTCAGTTGTAGGATTCCTGGTGAAGTTCTATATTACCCACACTGCTCAAAGGAGATTGACCAATAAGAAAAGGCACTGTTACCATGGAAGCAGGAAATGTAAAACATTTAAATCAACAAAATAAAACATTGAAATCAACATTTTAAATCAACAAATTTACTTCTATATACTGAAAAATATAGATTAGCCAATTGTTCTGAAGCCAATGGACTTTTGGATAAAGGCCTGAAATAAGGTCTTTGGTTTACACAAGTTCAAGATATTTTACAACATAAAATACATCAGTAATTCTCCCAAGTGTCTAAATGGGACTACAGAGGACGTCTGAGACATTAAACGTCATCATATCAAACAGTTAAACTCATTTACTCACTAATCTGCTCGTGTTTATAATTGCACTCTTGCAAACGATTCTAACTCAAATTCTCATGTAGTCATGTAACCATAGATTGTTTAGATCCTATGTTTAGCTTTTTTTTTTTTTACTTCTGCTGATTGTATTCAGGTCTCAAATAAAAGATTTGTGCACAAAATGATCATGCACAAAACATGTAAGAATCATTAAGCTTTGTTTGTCACAGAGCTTATTTTCTGCAACAATTCAAAAGCCAGCAGAAAATAAATGTGGTTCCCTTTTAAAAATCAAGGGAACCAGGGTGATACAAACTTCTAGGTTGACATACAAAATTACAACATTACCGCAGTACTCTGTTGTTGCTGTTGTTACTCATTTATTCACAGTAATTCACAAGTTCATTTCCACATTAAGACGTACAGTCTTTTACCTGTTTGTGATTACCTTATTTTTTTATATATTTTTTTTTACATCTAATAAAATGTTGCAGTGCTGTGAGCAATCTCAGAGATGCCTGAATTGGTTCATGGCTTAGAACTCCTTGTTGAAAAGATTTACAATTCCTATATTAAAGGGGTCATATGATGCGATTTCAAGTTTTCCTTTCTCTTTGGAGTGTTACAAGCTGATTGTGCATAGATAAGATCCCTGAAGTTGCAAAGACTAAAGTCTCAAAACCAAAGAGATATTCTTTATCAAAGTTAAGACTCTGCCACGCCCCCCTAAAACGGCTCGTTCTAACACGCCCCCACATATCTACCTCACTATGTGGAAATATTAGCAAATGTGCACACAAAGAAAGAAGGCGTGGTTTCAGTAACCGCAGTTAGTGTTGAAGCAGCATGTCAGGGAGACG